AATATGAACGTTGCTAATTTAAATTGCCAGTATGTTCCTGTTTTTCTTTTTTGTTTACATATATATATATATATCAGTTCAAATGATTTTTTGAATCTCAAAAAATCTTGAAATCATTTTCGATTTTACGAATTATGAACATATTACATACAGACAAGTTAAACACATTAATGTCATGCAATTATCTTTATAATTTTATAGTAATATTTGATAAGTATCAATGTTTAATATGATACATATTATAAGTATATTTTATTTTTTGTGTTTGGCCCATCCACACAATGAGTGGTCGGACGACGCAGTGCGTCACGCCCTTGCCTTTCACCAAGACGGCCAGGGTTCAATTCCCCGATCGGACGTGAACAGTTATGGGGTCATCTGAGTGATTAATATTAGTTTGTAAAGCAAACTTGTTTTATCATTGCTGTTAAATAAAGTATATATTAAAGAACAATAAATGTATACATGACCATACAGCGGAAGTAAGTGAACTATATGGGTATCAAAAGAGACAAGGAAATTAAGAAATTGTAGAAAAATAGTAAGAAGATGGCTTAAAAAAGACAAATTGTTTCTGTCGAGGTCCTACAGAGTGGTCGCCTCGTGCAATCATGCAGCGGCCTACGTGATTCTCAAATATACAGTAGATATGAATGTATATTAGAATATGGGCTGCTTTATCATAGGGAATTGGTCAGTTGAAGTCTAGATTTTTCAATACTCTATATAAATAATAAGATATTTGTTCATCGATTAGTTCATAAATATTTCTTATAAATAATTTAACGGTGATCAAATTTTAAGATATGAAAACTCTGAATGAAATCTATATTGATCAGTAACGGTCTGCTGTGTGGGTAAAGATTCTTACTGATTAACCAGAATAATCAGAAATATGATAGTACGGAATTAGATCTAAGTTCGTGGTTATAGTATGTAAGAAATGTAAAACTCCATATTTATATATACTTTTAGAAAATTTTCAAGTTACATTGATAATGTTTTTAAAAAAGTTCAATAAAAAACAAGTTGAGTTGAATATATGAATCATGTTGTCAGTTCTTCATACAAAACTGTCTTACATTAAATTGATGTGAAGTCGCACAAATTGTGTGTGTCCCTCATAAACAAGTAATGTTACAGACAATTTTACCTTGAAACTTGATTCGCGTTGTATCCTTCCGTGGTCCGTTGTATCCTCCTGTGGGGAGTGTCGGAAAGGTCAGGGAATCGGGGTTTTATACCGGATTAGTGCAGATGGTTTCAAGGGATATTCACAAATTCGTGTACTCTAGAATAAACACATACACATTTCAAATCCATTCAGACTGTGAATCAGTCTATATATCACGGTAGACTTGAATAACACTGATCACAAAGGCGACCAACGCGTGAACATTTGGCCGATTCGTTCACAAACATTTAAATTAATTTTGAAGTCGATACCTAGTTGTATACTGAAAGGTTATGAATATAATTTCAAACTTGTCTCGTATATAAACAGGTAGATATATCTTGCCAAATAAGGTATACCGCCAATATGTATTTGGTATGTAATGTTATATATATATATAGGTATAGGTGTATGGGCCATTGTTCGAACGCACCCAGACAATGCTTAACCTCATGTACTGTTGATATTTAAAACAAAGAAAGTCTGTACGGGTTCAATCATACAGTATGCAACTAACGTTTGATCGAGTATTCGACTCCCGGCGAGAATTTAAAAACAATTAGACCCATTGAGTAAAAAATTGTTGCCTGTTTTTGCTTTGGTTTTAAAATCGGCACGCAATATCATATACAGTAATATTGTGAAAATACGGTAAAATTGAATAGGTCCTTTGTGAAATATCGCCATGATTCATCAGCTGCAGCATGAATCACTCAGTGGCGTAGCAAGCTTTAGAAAATTGAAAAGTGAGACGGCACTTTTCTATCACTAGCACTCTCTTTCTCTCTTTTTAAGGGATGGGTTTGGGGTTGGAGTGAAGTGGCACTTTTTCGTGAAGAGCACAGAGCTTGACACCTCGTTATTTTTGTATATACATTGTAAATACACACTAGCACGAAAACTAAAACATATTGGAAGATATTGTTTCAATATTTGACAACAATATACAATGTACCTAATTAAACGGTATGTCCCATCATTTTTTTCTATTTTAATTACACATATTTCATATATGGACATTTCTATGTGAACATGTTGTTCGTAACCTTTTCATTATAGATACCTATTTTGCAATGTTTAGCTGTAATTGAATCTTAAAGTGTACCCTGAACGTTTTGTTATTTCAAGCTATGAAAATATTATACAATAAGAAAGTGCGAACGTCGTAGTTGACTCCGTTTCTGAGATATTTTGATACACCTTGGCTCAGCGGCGATCGCCTCGATAACGATAGCCCACATCTGTGACGTCACAAGTTCAACGCTGTCAAAACAGCTCTATAGGAATATACCTATATGTGAGCTTTTTAGCTATTCATATAATATATTCCTTCTTCACTTACTTGTGTAGATACATATAAATGATTTTTTTTATAATTTTAATGAAGAAATTAGTTCCTCCTGAGGAGGCAAACGATGAAAAACTATATGATAATGGTGGTGTTTCTTTTTACATAATTGGTTAATCTAGTGACTGTAAATAATATACTCTTTATTATTAAATTGATCTTTAGAAAATTTGGTGAACACCTATATACAACACAAAACAATTGATTAAAAATTGAGTCAAATTAACGTAAGCGAACCGCACCCCTTTCTTTGCAATGAGTAGATAAACGTAAGCGATTGGAATTGACAAAAAAATGCACCGGTACAATAATTTATACTTCAAATGAGCAGCAACCCGCGGTGGGTTTTTTTACTTCCAATACTGTGACAGTACAAAACTTGAAACGTTTTTATTCTTTATGCGATCCAAGGAATTTAGCACATGATAAATATCAGGGATGTGTAGTAGTCCACTACACATCCCTGTAAATATATATATACACACCACTTCTTAGAATATTGCCGGGGG